GTACTGCTCTCGTCACTACTCGCCTGAATGGGAAAGAATTTAGAAGTTCCCCACTTTCGTTTATTAAATGCTTGTAAACATCCCAAGAGTCCCATAGTCACATTCCGCTTATCTAGGATGAGCGGAAAGTAACTGCCGGAAGTTTCGCATTATCCAGGTTTGTCCCGAGATTTTCTGGGGCTTCCATAGGGTTTCTATGCAAATACCCTACCCAGTTGTAAGCAAAAAACATATCCGGCTACCTCTTCAATGCTTATTTACCCATATAGAGACCAAACTTCCCACTGATTTCCAACACGCACATACATCTTTACGAGTGCGAATCTGGCTACTCCGCTGCTTGGACCCATTGATATTTTTATCAAACATTTAGCCTTGAATTCCCATGGTTCTTTGCACCCTCGTCCCATCGATGTAAAGCCATAAACAAGAGGGTCGCACATGAACATCAACCTGATCAACCGACTGCGATACCATGAAATCTCCTGCTCAGTAAGTACCGCCCTTTTGTAGTATTTGTATGCAAGCTTCCAGAAAATCCCGCGAGAGATCTGGATTTATCGGGAATTTCGGCAGATACTTTACGCACAGCATAATAATTACTGGCCAAGTGATTAGGAATAATTATATAGAACTAATTAGCTATATCATAATAAGTAATACAAGATGTGCTAATTATTGGATGAATGGCAATGTTTTTATGTTATTCTGTGAAATTTTGAACGACGAAGGAAATGTGGCTACGAATCAGGACGAGAAAGGAAAATCAAGAATCCTTGCAGCGGATCCTGCAGCTCTCCTTCTCACCTCAGAAACTCGCTCAGTTTCTCTCAAGGCTTCATCGGCATCCTTCGATTTTCCAGATCTCAACCTTTGAGTTTCCGGGACATTCCGTTCCACACGAACCATCGAAAAGGCAATTCCTCTAAAAAGTATGGTTTTGAAGAAAAGCTAGAGACAGAAGAATCCTGACGGTGACAGTCGTGCTTCTTTGAACTGAGTTTTATGTGGTTATTTACACAGTTGAAGGTTTAGTGAAGGCTCGAAGTGAAAGAGTAAGCATTGCATCCCACTCCTTTCTAGAATCGCAAAAATACTTAGGAAGATCGTTTTGATTTGTGTTATACTTACCCCAGTATGACGAATACTACACCAGCATAATTGAGAATATCGCTGGCTGGTGGGTTAGGATTCATTCCCAGCAATCCAAACCTATAAAAATGGCAACAAAGAGCACATTATGACAAGAAAGAACCTTCCACTCAAGCTGCTCACCTTCCCGTTGCCCACCCAACCACACATTTTGCCGAACCCCAGATCAGCAGTCCCAGAGCCAAACCGATTCGCTTTATTAAGGGGATTGCTGTCGAGTTGCCTGGAATTTCCGAGCACAATCAACACTTCAAAAGTGAATTTCCACTTCACGCACTTCCTCAAGCTGATTGTTAGATGAATTTGTTGCAAAAGTTTGATTTACCAGATGATACAAAAAGGAGAGGAAGGAATAAGATGGTGAAAGGAGAAAGAAGGATTGAGTACCTGTGAAATAGTGCCTATTATAGAATATAAAAAATGAGGCGTAAGGCGGGAAAGACAAGACATAAGGAAAAATGAGGAAAACGGTAAAAAACTGAGAAAAGTAGATGAGTAGAGATATGAAAAAGTAGAGTAATGAAACAAGGTGGCAAGGTGACTCAGAGGTTGACAGGCCGCCTAATTTACAGAGCAAATGAGTTCGGGATTGTTGACTGAAGGAATGATTGGTATGTACTCGGAGAACTGATTAAGACCATAATAAACGGCAAGTGGTTGGAAAAAGATGAAGTGTTAGGTTCAGAGACGCTTATTAATGGAAGGAATACCATCTAGAGAAACTGACCCACGGTCCAAAAGGCTCCGCCAAGCATCGCAAATGGATAAAATCCTGGAAACCCTTGATACCAGAAGTCACCAAATCCGACGCATAGAATTGATACAGACATGACCCATTGAGCAAAGATTCCTAAAAATCCCCATTCGCAATGAATCTGGGGAAGCGCCATGTTTTTTACTCGGCTAATATTTGAAACGGTAGTGGCTCATCAACGCGTGCGTGACTTAAAGGCACCGCTAGCAAAAAATGTAGTTTACCCTTTTTTGACGGAAATTGATAGAACTACTCTAGAAT